CTCCCTTTGCAGGTACGGACGCCCCAAGGGAGACAGTTCGAAACGAAGAAATCGGCTGTGATCAAACGGTTCATAAGAATTCGAAGCTCCGGAAGACGTGCTTCCGACTGGAGCAAGAATCTGGACGCTCGATAGGCGAAAGTCTCTACGTCCTGTGCAACCTGACCTGACCTGAACTATGCGCGTGGATGATCTTGATCATTTTATTGTAGGATCACTGACAGATCAAGGAGCCCTTTAAAATCAGAATTTTGGCAGTGTTGTATATCGGTGCTGAATCTCTTATACATGAGATGCGGCAACGTTTGAATGCACCAAAATGGAAAATATACGTGTGTTGACCTAGAGGTCGCTTGGAATGAGGACTTCAATTGTTGCCTTGTCTAGCTTCCTTCTCACTTCCCTCGTAGTGTGGAATGCATATAATCGTAAAAAACAGTTTTATCCGACAGTTATCTACCTGACAAATAATCAGACATGCCTAGCGGTTAGTAATCGTAGGGAAAGTGGTATCATTTTTTAGATTTTGCTTTTTCAGTGTGCGGTCCTGCTAATGTTCGTGGCAAAAATGATGACACGGATATTCTTTGGTCGTCTTCAACAGGCAGAGGTTGATGTAAGACGTTTACATTCAATAATGCTTTTAGAACCTTGTATCTCAATCCTGGTATGCGTTTTTCGACATGTGTTTGGTCTTCGCCTTCTTTCAAGATGAATTGGGAACAGAATTCCTATTCTTATTCACCATGCTATTATTTGTCAAAGCCTTTCACTGGCTTCTTGAGGAGCGGGTTGATTATGTGAGTCCTTCAGCCTTAGATCTTGAACCCTTCAGATGGAACGAACTCCAGTCATCAATGCTCTGTTTCACGTTCGGGTCTTGAGTAAGCTTGTTTGTTTGTGTCTAGAGGCTTTTAGCTTTAATCGCCTTGTTGTGCTGCATCGATGTGTATTTTATACGCACTGCATACATGAAACCCGCTTCTCGCGGCCTTTCTGTGCATCTGGCGCTCGGAGTCGAAGTGAGTACTATTTTATCGTTGGTTTGCTTTAATTTGACTTTTCACTCATTTTGAAACTGTTATTTGTACTAGTGATGAGTGAAATTCCTGAATTAGACACACTTGTTCTACTCACTTTAGTCCCATTCCAGGAAAGAGCTGTTTCTAGCATCTGGACCTAATAAACCTAAGTTTAATACAGTTACTGCTAGCTGTCTGCAGCATAAATGCGAGCTTTCTACCACTGTCTGGTGCTTCCTAATAATAATTGATTCGCTCAGGTAGGGAAAGAACCAAGATTAAGCACCATCAAGAGTTCAAAAGCTCTCTATGCACTTTTGGAAGGCAATAACTACGGCAAAAGAGCAGCACCAAATATGAAAACGGTCTCGTCCAAGTAAATAGTAACAGGTTAATCTAGAGAGGTCTGAAGCTAAGGAAGTGAAGGAAACGAAAATAAGGATGTATGAAACACGTGGAACTAAGGTACCCTGATTTTTCAAGAAAGTGGATTCAAAGGAAGTGGTTGAAGTGTTCCATGGATTAGAGCTCGCGAGGAGGCAGCGCACCCGCTCAACTTTTAGTGGATAATGGGTTGCTTTTGTTAACTAGAACCTTAAACCGATGACTGCTCACAATGTTTTCCGTAGTCTGTTTAAAGTGGAATAAAACCAAAAGTTGGTATGATCAAAAACATTCTAGCGAATCCAAAATGTTGAAAATGCGTTGCCGCTAGTTTATGTTAGTATTTTAGCAACGGCAGTAAAAACCTGAAAGTAGATCTGGTCAGAGCAGAGAAAATGTGCGATACAGAGCTCACCACGGAGGATGATGTCTGTGCCATTTGTTGGAGCTTCTTTAAACTGCCTGCATTTCCAAGACACGAGCAGCTTACGCCGGACGCAAACACCTTTGTTGCAGACGCGATTTCGTTGAAACTGAAGAATCGTGCATACTGCGCCAGCGTGCGATCAGTTCTGCTTTATGGCTGCGATGCCCTAAATTTGCGCGTGGAATACATTCGTCGTCTGGAAGTCTTCGGCTACCGATGTTTACGTCGTTTAGTGCGGGTTGAATGGAGCGAGCGTGTATGCAACTCTGAGGTAGGCTGTTGCGTATTTGATATTGATTCGATGGGGAATTAGTTGTCCCATCGAATTCAGATTAGTCGGGTTCACTGGTTGGAACCCTTATTGAGTATGCCCAACTGTCGTCTACCTCATCGCTCCTTGTTCGCAGTTGTGGTTTGCGGTTGGAGGAAACCATTGTGTTAGGAGCAACAAGAAGCGAATACGTTCACGACGGCCGAGATGAGAGAGAACGCGCAAACCGGAAGAATACGCGTTACTCGTTTAATAACATCGGTACATGGGCTAAAAAAATAAAAGCAATGACGTGAGTAATAGCATACGGAAACAGAACGAACAGCAAACACGACATTTACCCCGGCCAAGTAAAGGAAGTTCGCCTCACAATATCGCTAAGTATTAATGATTTGTTTGGAAGAAAAAAGGAATAACAGAAGATAACTAAGCTCTGTTTCTGAGATTGGAAGNTCTCGTTCTTTGTTGTAATATTTCTGATGCTGTGTCAGGTACAGTGTCGAGGCTCGAGAAGTTTCAGAAATCTCACGATTAGGTGTATTGTTTATCGATCTTGGAGGAGAAGTTTCTAACTGTATGTGTTTCACTGCCTGTCATGTCAAAGTTTCTGGTCGAGTAGTTCACCCGGTGGGGCAAGCGTCGAACGGGAACGTTTTCTTCCCTACCGTCTGGCATTTTCACGAGAACATAATGTGGATTACAGTTAATGAGAACAACTTCGTCTACTATGTGGTCGTACTTCGAAGTTCGGTTCATTCTTTTGAGCAGTACCGGGCCTGGAGTTTTCAATCACGTCGATACGGCGGAGCCGTTGGCCAAACGCCGGGGAAAAGAAAACAATCGTTCGTGAGGTGTATTAGTGGCGACGCAAAGCAGTTAGCGAATAGAGTGTGACGCATCTGGGAGGACTGCTTCCCGTTAAGAGGTCGGCAGTCCTCTAGTACTCAGTGCTAGATATAGAGACCTCGCCTCCGAGCAGATCACGTCCAGTGACTATCAGTCTTCGACAACCGCTGTCTGCGCAACATCACCCGCTTATGGCGGGAGCATCGCGTGAATAACGATGAAGTCAGGCGACGGGCGCTAGGATCAGATAGTCTCCCTTAGAGCAAAATAATTTCACAGTATCGTCTTAGGTGGCTAGGGCACGTCCTACGAATGCCTGAGCACCGTCTGCCACGCCGTGCACTTTATTACACACCTAAGTGTGATGAACAGCAGACGGGGCGAACCCCATAGTTACGAGAACCTGCTGTTCAGTGGTGGAAACAGGTAATCTAAGCCCCGAGACTTGGAGTGGCGAACCACATAAGGCCCCGATAACTGGGGCGTGGTATTGAACCGGATGACAACAGAGCTGCCTTCCACTATTCGGAGACATCTGTCCAGGCTGGTAGAGACAGCGAGGTGGGCAGGTTATGACGTGGTGCAGAGGGTTAAAGAGATTGTGCTCGGATCTGGCTTCCGTTGGGGTTTCCCGGCTGGGGCCCCAAGATCCAGATTGTCTTTAACTGGAGACACTGCGGGAACCGAAGTCAGTGGCGCAAATGTATCCTCTCCTGTTTGCCATCCCCAAAATAAATAAAAACGAAAAAAACTGCAGCAAAGAAACAAAAGGTGTTACTCTCCGAAGTTGACTTTTATTTTCCCCGCTTTTTACCAATATTTTTTCGTTCACCCGTGGTTATTTTGGAGCCGTATCTGTAAAGATTGGTGTTATATATATATATATATAGCTTTCCATAGCGTACTGTTCAAGCGCTCCACTTGACCGTTAGCTTGTGGGTTGTAAGCAGTTGTGTGACTATTTGCTACACCTTTATTACGCAGAAACCGAACGAGCTCTTCGGACATGGACCGCGATCCGAATGCACATAAGCAGGCATGCCAAAAATAGCAAATAGTTGACGAAGACAGTTGATAACAGTAGATGAAAGCATGTCCAAACATGCAAAAGCAAACGGAATTCGAGAATATTCATTAATGATACAAAATATACCGGTTTCGAGAGGTCGAAGGTAAGGGTACTTTGAAATCGATGTTTATTCTCTCAAATGGTTGTGTAGCTTTGATTGGATTACAGGGAGATGGCTTGAAAAAGCGGACTTTAACTCCCCGCAGATAGTGCACTTTGCGATCATGCTCTTGAGTTCTTCGACTGAATACGGTGGATTGCGTGTGCGTACAAAATGCACCATTCGCGTTATTTCTGGATTACATGGTGAATCGTGCAGGTCTCGCAGTTTTGTGTTGTTAAAATTAGAAGCACAAGTACTGCGGGACAGCGTATCAGCGACTTGATTATCTTTTCCGGGTCTGTAAATTATATCGCAGCGAAACGCAGATAATTCGAGCCGCCACCTCTGGATTTTATCGTATTTGATTTTAGTTGTCAGTCATCGGTCATACATGAAGGCTACGGAACGTTGATCGGTTTGAAGTGGGTGCCAAGAAGATGGTGCCTCCACTTGCGTAAGGCTTCCACAGTCGCGCACACCTCTATTGCAGATTGATGTTTTTCGCTAGGAGTCAGAGTGCATGAGTAAAAGACTACCAGTTGGTTATTCAGACTAAGTGAGGCGGCTATTGCAACATCCAATGCGTCTCAACCACTAGCGGAAGATTGCAGTCTACAGCAGCAATCATCGTTTTCCAAATCGGACTTAAGGTTTTCAAATGTGTGTTTAACAGTAGTCGGTAATGAGAATGTTTTATTTTCAATTAGAGGATGAATTTTGTCTGAAAAGTGGTATATCGACTGCCAATAGTAGGCGAACATGACTCGTCAAAGTGATTTTGCGTCCGTCGGAGGGGCATATCGCGTAACGGTTTCATTCGGTCGGGGTCCGGTTTAATTATACCCTGGGATATGTGGTATCCAAGAAGATCGATTTCTTTAGCGGACGTGACTGTTTTATCAGTGTTCAGTGTTATGCCGAACTTAGCGGCAGTCTTCAGAAATCGTTCGAGAATCCGGTCCTGGTCTTCCATAGTCAAATCACACATGGTGACGTTGTCGACGTAGGCGAAAGATCTTTTAGACCTTCGGTTGCTAGAATTTCATCAATGGTGCTTTGGAAACACGCAACGCCATTGGTAACCCCGAAGGGTATTCGGCAGAACTGGTATAGCTGGTCGCCTGCTTCAAAGGCGGTATATGGTCTTTCGTGATGTGCGATTGAAATCTGATGGTATGCACCTTTTAGATCCACCGTACTGTACTGGGTAGCGGATAGGCATCTAGCTGGATGAAGCGGTTGATCGTCTGACTGTAATCCACGACCATGATTAGAATTTCTGGTCACAAGGTCTTGAGCCCTCCGGGGGGAATTAAATGGCTCAATGATACCGTCCCCCATGAGGCGCTGTATTTCTGCTTGGATAAAACGCTCGTCCTCTGTGGAATGTCTTGGAGACTTAGTAGCGATGGGTTTACATTTTGGAGTGAGGTGCGCAGATAACAGGGGTGACTGAATTTTAGCAGCGGTGAGTCCGCACAACATGAAAGTACCACGATCACCACCAAATGGTATTTCCACCTTTTCGTGTAGAGCGAGAAAATCGTGACCAGGAAGAACGTCAGCGCAGAGGTTACGCATTACAGAAAGTCTGACGTTATTGTATTTAGCTCCACGGTAACGAATTGTTACGGTACAGTAACCGGGCACATTACAGGACAAGGATGTGGGCCTTCAACCTGTGGGAGTTGACAACTGTCTGGGAGGTATAACTATTGGAACTGCTAGTGTCGACTAAGGCATGCAACTCTATGTCATTGACGCATATCTTAGTTGTAGCACGCAATAAGGTGTGAGCAGAGGCTGGTAAAGCGGAAGATAGAAGGGGTCAAATGGCCGAAGTAACAGCTCGATTGATTGATATCGACCGGCAAACACGTTTAGAATGACCCGTTTTCCCACGCTTTCCAAGTAGCGTCTCTGCCACTTTGTTCGTCAATGCTTCGAGTATCCACAAAAATAGCACGTTTCTTTGGACACAGCGGATAGAACTGGCTCGGATTGAACCGTCACAGCAGGAACAGGAGATGCGTGCGACGACATCGAAGCAGATGAGGTACAAGGCGGATTTTCGGAGCCATATGCCTGAGGCTGTCGTTGAGCAGATTCTAACGACCTCGCTATGTCATATGCGGTTTAAAAGTTGAGAGAGACTTTGCTCTAAAAGTCGCGTTAGAATGTTATTGGACAGTAATCCGGTAATAACAGGATCACGCATAGCGTCATCACGGTATTCTTCGGTAGATACAGAACGAAAGTCGCAGTCCCTCAAGTGTTTTGATTATTTGGACGAACTGATCCACGTTCTGGCCACGTTCTTGTTTACAAGTCGCAAGGAGATGTCGAGCAAAAATTATATTCCTAGGAAGTATGCACAAAAATTGAAGTAGAGATATAGCGTCGTCGAAGGTATTACAATCTGATACATATTCATGGACAGTCGGCGATAAGAAGTTAATCAATATGTCTAGCTTGTCTGGGTCTTCAGCCTGGACGCGTTTCAACAAGGCTTTGAACATTCGAAGCCAATACGTCCACTGTTTCGAAGCGTCGGGAACGTTCAAATCAGCGTCGAATTTTTCAGGACGGAGGTAACGGTCCATCGATTACTAGACCAGTAAATTGTTACGAAAGATAAAAAACGGGTATGGTCACAACGGTCGAGATGAGACAGAAGGCGCAAACCGGAAGAATTCGCGTTACTCGCCTTATAATATCGGTACATAGGCTGAAAAATAAAAGGAATGACGTGAGTAACAGCATACGGAAACAACGAATGGCAAATACGACACAGATGACGTGGAAACAAGAAATGACGAAATGCATAGAGCGATTCGGTAGAATAGGTGTCTCCCGTCTTCCAGGTTGGGGTCCAAAAGACTGCAACTGGCTGTTTGAAGACACTGAAGGATATGACAACTAATCGACAGCAGTGGCGATCTTGTTACTTACTATACTGCGATTGGCTCGTTTGAAAGAATAAGCCGGCTCCAGACATGATCATGATCAATTTCATGAAGTTCCTTGGGAGTTTGGTACGAGAGACGTCCTCAGCGTCACTCGGCGTCTTTTATTTAGAGGGCGCACCTCTAACCTTTGCATAACCAAGTGCGAACTGCAGGGCAACAGGAAGTAATCCCTTGCTTCGGAAGTGAGGGGAGGGGGTCAATGACTTTAGTTTTAAAAGGCCAGTCACATCGATCTTTGTCACGACACCGTCATTGGGCTTATGCGACTTTTAAACAGGAACCAGGTGACCAGCCTGAAACCCGCCATACCATGGTAGTGCCGCCACTGCTTATTTGTTGCGGTATGCCATAACTTATTCACAGCTAACCTTCTTCGGTGAAGGTTCTCCCCTATCCACAACCCAGAGACGCGCCTGGTCGCATTCAGTTCTGCTTAACCCGAGGTTATCTTTTTATTTCTTATCAGACCAGAATGCTTGAAAAGGTATGTTTACACAGTTAGTGTATTGACCATAGAGGTTCACTTTGTTTTTCGCTCTCCAATGAGGCCCATTTTCTCCTCCATCATGTACTTAATCACTTAATTTGTGTACATTATGAGCTTGGTAGCAAACAGTGATGTTCGCTTCTCTACTCTCTGCATGATGATTTTTTCTATTACGCACTTTAGTGTGATGAACAACAGACACAGTAAACCCCACAGTTGTGAGGACCTGCTGTTCATTGATGAAAACCAGTATACTAATCCCCGGATTTGGAGTGGCGAACCACATAAGAACCCGATGGGTTAGGCATGGTATAGAACCGGGCGACAGCAAAGCTGTCTACCACCAAAGTTGGGTGGTGGTAACGGGGCTGGAACCTCGGACTACAGGGTTCAAAGTACACCGATGGAAACGACTAAACGCTTGCGCCATGGGTCCCGCTCCGTCTGTTGTTCATCACACACTTGTGTGTAATAAAAAACCACCACCCAATCCTAGTTATGAAAGTCAAGATCTCCTAAGGTGGAAACATGGCACTTGGGTTCGGTTGCAAATAAGTGTCGCCACTGTTGGGAAAACGATATAAAACACAATAGGGATGTTCGAAAGAAGAAACTTAGAGCTTCAGCCACATCGGTTAAAATTCACGATAGGAAAAGTCATGATTTGGGATTGGAAAGTGTATTTGGGTACTTAAAGGTGAGTGGTGCCTGACAAGGAGATTCGTGTTTCGGTCAAAAAAAGACGAGAGGAGATGAAGAATGAAGAAATCGGTTAACAGAATCAATGTTGTGGTTCAGTCCGCTAACGTTAGTGAGGGTGATGAGTTCGTTCTTCCAGTGCGAGTGCGTGGAGCGAGCGAGAGAGCATAAGCGTATATGATTTCGTACTGTGATATTTATGTTGAGGGAATTGGGAACCATGTACTGAAACTTGGAGTGGCGGACAACATAAAGATTCAATAGATCAGGTGTGGCGGTGAGCTATAGTACGTCATCACATCTAATCAGAAATTAGCTTGTTTATCCTTACGCGAACAATTCCCTCATACTGCATAGTCTATGGTAGAAACAAAAGTTCAGACTACGAAGTTTTGAGAATGGTCCCCTTCTCAAATCGCTGCGGTAACTTTTGATACCGATTCCAATTACTAACTGAGTGCATGCGCCACCGTTTCGCAATCCAATACATGGTTCCCCAGATACATATTGCTGTAAACAATTGACCGTATATATATGGAATTCACCCTTTTTACAGTTCATTGAAATGTACAGCAGAAATAAATCCTTTATAAGCGCACCTTCCTCAGGCAATTAATTTTTCGCAATAACTTCCTAAATAAATTAGATATTTTGGAAACCACTTTACAATAAAAACGTTCCCACTCTGCATACATTTCTTTTTAGTATTACATCTTGGTTTTCGGTCTCTTCTCGACAACGGTTCGTTACATACTTCATACAATCGACTCTCTTCGAGAACACCCCTGGGATAAGAAGACAATGTACCTGCTGTATGTGGATATCATCATGGGGATCGTCCGTTTGGCTCTTTATATTGAGTTCACTCTTGTTATGTGGTCACTTCATCCGTTCCCACTTTTTATTGCTCGACCGATCTATCTGAGTGTTCGTGCTCTAAAGAAAGCCATCCGCGTAAGTGCTTTGTTAGTGCCCTGCTTTCATTTGATTATAGGCGGTGACAAAGGGCTCGAGAGTGCAAATAGTTTTTTTCAAGTATCCTGCCACCGTGTATTTTCGTTGTTATTCAACTCAGTTACCTGTATATATA